ATTAAGAATACAGGCCACGTAAATATACACATACCATAAGGGGCAACAATATCTTCTCATTTTGAGATCAGCAAACCGGATTGCTGTTCTTCTGCTTCTTGAAGCCACAGACCTCTGCCATCCAAAAAATTTAAAATTAAAAAAATAAAAAATAAAAATCTGACTTGTCGGATTTTCAAGAAATTGATTTTAGCGTCCACGATCATCTTATGCACATGACAAGGTTACACAAAGTAGTGCAATAACAGAGATAACATCTTAAGGTCCCCTTTGTTTGCTGGCTTCGTGAAGTTATCTGAGATTTTTACCTTGATTTCATTTACTTCAAGGGAAATGTCAGTGTCAAATCCACGTAGCACTTGTAGAGAGGCTTCAAAATCATCCACCATCCCCATTTTAGCATAATTTTCACGCGCGGAGATAAGAATCCGGAGCTAATATCTATTTTTCTAAAAATAGCTGGATTCAGATTTTTGTAGCCTCCTCACCAACCACCTAGGAGATTCAGGGATGAAAAAGAGGCCAGGTATCAATATTAGACAAGGTAGTGTTCCTGTAAAAAAAATATAGATATAAATTAATCACTGTAAAGAAATTCTTAGACAAATACATCATTTATTTTTTTTTTCTATTATTTATTCTTGTTTTTTAAAAAATACATCATTTATTAAATTGGGACAAATGAGGTAAAATCACAAGACCAAAAAGAATAACTAAAGATGACATTATACAGCTTTCAAATTAAATTCGTCATACAATTCATGGTTCTACAATATAGATTAAAAATAAAGAAGTATATTCTTCACAGTAAAGCGAAGATAACCTAGAATTGCGAGAATTCTCCAGCCAACAAATAGTCCCAGCAGATATGATAGCATGATCCCAATGGTTACAGAGAGCTAAATTACAAAAGTAAGTATAATTAGGCCGCATCTTGTAATGAAGCACATATAAGTCAACATAAATTAGTGTAGTTAAAAACCTGGTTCACCGAGCCCAGAGCACCTCTAAGATTTTGAGGAGCTATCTCAGCTATGTATACAGGCACATATACGAAGATGGAAGTTAAAAAAGATATATAAAGGTATAACCTGTCAGGCTTCTTTTCACGGCCGAAAACTATCTATATAAAAGAACCACAGTCCTTACAGTGTAAGATATTATACCGACACCAAATCCTTCCAATAGTCTTCCCTTGTAAAGAAACGAAAAGTCCTGATGTAATTGTAAAACAAGTAAAAAAAAAAAAAAAGAATGGCTGATAAGAACAAAAATGTTTATGTTAGATAAGTAGATGGCGGGAAAACGATTAAACATAATCTCACTCTGGCAAATGATATTGCAAGCCAACCAATGATATTAGGTATGGCAGCAATCATTAGAGACTGCAGGTTAATGAATTGAATAAAAAATTTAAGATTGTACCACGAAAATTCAAAGTATCTATAATTTTAGTTGCTAAGAACAAAATAATCTTATTACCCCTTCTCGACCAATGTACTCGGCGAATCTGGCCACTGGCTATTGCACCAACCATGGCTCCCACATTTGACAAGAACCAAATATGGAGAACTGTTCCAATAATTTGAATTGTTATGAAGAAAAAGTAAGATACTCTTGTACGTTTGTTATAGGAAACAAATTATATAAGTACTAAACCTGTGAGACTGTGAGCTGGAGATCATTTGTAAGAGCAGACTGAGTTGGTGAAGAGTAGCCGCACTACACGACCAACAAAATTGACCAGTAGTTTAGCTCATGCACAAGCCATCAAGGG